CTGAAATATTGTTAAGGCCACCGTAGCGCGACCATGCTTGCTCTGGACATCGGGGTCTCCAAAGTATGAATAGATTTTTTTAAACGTTTCGTGGGCGATCGCAGTTTAAAAAACATATTGGACCAGCTTTAAATAAACTACCATTGAGTTAAAAGCAACATTACTGTGCAGAGACTGTCCTATTACACTCATTGCTCTTTTATGCAAGAGACGACCATCGGCTCGTTAGAGCCTAAGCTTGTTTAGTTTGCGTTATACACCAACTAAAGTAATGATTACGTAAGCTTAGATAGCTCAGACGCTAACTTAAGCACTTTTTGTGAATCATTCCATAAATTTCTGTGAAAGATTCATAATAACTATATCCAATGCTAATAAAAGTAAACTCTTAAGTCAAAATAATTTTAAAACTTGGCGGTCACGAAAAAGATGATCAATATGCTTCAGGCAGGACGCGCTGCTGATGCGGAGAAGATTAGCGAATTGCTACTGGATTATCGTGGATTATCATTAGTTACAGGAGGACAATTAAATCTTACACAACATGCTACTTTATTCAGTATGGCAAAGATTTTAATTTGTTTTTCAAATTTAGAGTTCGCGAGAGTCATTCATTCAGATATATTCTCGCATTTTTCATCTAGCCTGAAAGGAGGGAGTTTGGGAACGGGACCAGCTGAGGACGCATCAGTCGCAGGCTTTAATATGGCTGTCTCTGGATCTGTTGCTGGGGATTTATTAGAACAGGTAAAGTGAATCTGTTCGACCTGAACTGCTGTTTTGCGGAGCTTTGTTTTTAGGCATATGCGTTGGTAGAAAGGATCAAAGCAGACCCCACAATTGATTTCAATAATGACTGGAAGTTCGTCAACATATTCATAGGGTCAAATGATCTGTGCTTTGTATGTCAGAATGAAGTAAGTTTTTAATTTTTATCTTCGTTCTTTTGCTAAGGACAGATATAAAGCAAGTTTCTATATTTCAATAATTACTGCATAATGTGTTAACTGAATGCGAGGTCGCATGATTGTATACAGAGCTTTTCTAAGGAATTGCCTGTAAAATCTTCTGGTAATTTATTAAAGGATGAAGTAAAATGGAAAATCATCACCATTTTCAGTCTATTTACGGAGCTGCTCAGTACGTATACAACGTCCGCAGCACTCTTCTATACCTTCGAGATAACCTTCCCAGAACATACGTCAACCTTCTTCCACCGTTCCATATCGAAATCCTTCTCGAAACCCACAAAAATAATGATGCGTTTTGCGAAGACTTCCATAGGTAAGGCGGATTTTTTCGTGTACACAGCGTCGTTTACGCTAAAACCGTTAATGTTTTCATAAAGTGACAAAATCGT